GCTTATATAAAGCATTAAGACCAGAAACAGGGAGAAACAACTGGCCTGGCTCTGTCAAAAGGTGAAAAAAAAGCCTTACTACTACTTACTACCTATCTCTAAAGCTCACTAATAAACATGTATGTTCTGGACTATGTTGTTGACCAGAAGCAGTAATTTTCTGTACTCTTGTTGTCTCTGTGAATTTGATATAAACAAATAACAACAACCCCATGAACCCAATCACTTCTACACTTACGGAGCCAGTCTAGCTGTTTCCAGTCTTTGTGCTAACCTAAATTAGCTAGCTGTTGGCAGTATCATCATATATGTACAGACATGAAAGAGGTATCAAACTTCTCATCTCATGGCATTATAGTGAATATGTATATTATGCAAAATATTGTGTTATTGCTTTAATCAGAATCAGAATCAGAAATACTTTAATAATCCCCGTGGGGAAATTACTTCAATACGTTGCTGTTGTTAGCTGTTGACATTTTTTTATGACAACACAAAGATGATGTTGATCCTATGTAAACAGGAACTTTATTGTAAACATTATGTCTAACAATGTCTTTCTATAGGCTATACTATACATAAATGACATCATGTGGTTTATTGTGTCCCACTATTCATCTCCAAAGCATTTTGTGTTTAACTCTATTTCAGTGGGATTGTATAGTTAATCATAGACATCCATTTATTGAAATACGCAAAATCACCACTCAGCATACTTTCAAACTGTACCAGGACAGGGTTAAGGGGTGCAGTGAAGTAACTTTGACTTAAGATCTTAGTACCTAAAATCTTGGCTATAGTGCTTTTTTGGGGGTATGGAGGCAGGGTGTGAACCACAAGGGAGTCAGGGGGAGCTGGACTTTTTTGGGGGTCTGTAAAATATTGGCAATATTCTATTTTTGCAATGCATTTCTATTTTTCTATATCATCATTGATTATGCGTAAACTTGGGCTACTATTGATATATGGTTTGTGCACGAGTGTGATTCATCACTAATTCTCTAAAGATGATGCTATTCTTGCTATCACCATTGAAGCATGGCAGCACAATATCATTAACTTTAGATGAGAAAATATACATAAAGTAAACTTTCTCTCCCAGTCAGTCTGTTCATCAAACTACCATTATTCATTTATTTCTCTGGTTTGTAGTCAGCATACTGTGCATCACGGGCAAAAGCCATGGTTTGCACACTCTATGGAGGGAAATAGTAAAATAAACCCAAAAGTGGACTTTCTGTTGTACTGTTGTATTCAGTGGTGTTCATTGTGATTGGCTGCACTATACCATGATTCCTGGATCCATTAAAGCCTGAGGAGACTGTACCCTTATAAAGTTTGTGAGAGGAGTATTTCACTTTTACCACTTCCTTTTACTCCCACTCATGATTTTTATTGTTCTGATAATTTTTTTCTTATTTTTACTTCCCTGCAGCAGTTGAATGAAGCATGAAATCATTTGATATAAGATGCACTTTGATGGACTATCTAATCATATGTTGGAAGTTTGTTAAACCATAACCTCTGGAGATGGAGTTGTTTGAACCAGTGAAACGTTTGGATGACTCAAATGCATGGATTCTTTTTCTTTTTTTTTCCTTCAATGTAACATAAAAATAAAACATTCCCAAACTGCCTGCAGTCTCACTTGCACTAACATGACTCAACGAGGAAATACCGTTGTTGGTGAGACATTTTTAGAATATATTCTCTCAGTATTGGTTAAACGAGACTCCATCTTACTGCTGTGTGCTGCCGGGAGTAGCCACAAATCCATAAAGGTTAAAGAAAGGTTATTACTGGAGGTTGACTGGTGCAAATCCCCAGAGTCTCATGTAAAATGTGGGTGGAAAGGGTGAACGAGTAACTCTCCTCACGTTCAACTACTGTCAAGGTGGCCTTCAACAGGGCACCAAATTCCAACTGCTTGAATGGAAAGCAATACATAGTTAAAGGACATCATTCACTCAGTTCTGGTTTAAATGAAGAAGTAATGAGTTATGTTTTCTCGTTTAATGTCCCCATGAAGAAAAACTTAAATGATGAAAAAATGAAAAAATGATGTCTTCCTTTCATTGTATTGTGAAATTAAATATTAGCTGCTCTTACAGTTGCACAATCTTCTTAACTGCCTCACATCTCATCAACTGATTTTTTGTGGCATACAAACATACCTTGGGGAAAATCAAGGATGTAATGCAGCAGCTGCTTGATTTTCTATTTCCTTTAGGTTTAGGAACATATGCTGTGGGGTTTGTGGCTGGCATGCATGAGAAATTAACTGCTGCAGATGCTTGTTAAAATAAATATTATACAATATTTGACTGGACACTGAGTTAAAAAGATTGTAGTTGTGACCAGTGGTCCTTTGGGCTTTGTGGGTAAAGTATAGGTTTTATGCGACAAGAGTTGAGTTTGCTCAGTAGAGCTACACACCAAGCTCACTCACGTTACTTAAGTGCAATCAAATTTAGGGTTAAATGTTAGCTCAAGAGTGTGTGATTTTCTTGTCCCTTAACCCTGTTCAGTGATAGCAGATAGCAGATCTCTCGCTGCATTAAAAAGTAAACTTTTTAAAAACTCATATTTTATGCATCTGGTGGTAATTATTTGATAAAAAAGAACCTGCAATATATTGCCTTGCTTACAATATCGCAATATATTACAGTATATTGAATTGTAAGCCCTGTATCGTGGTATTGCCAGATTCTTGCCAATACACAGCTCTATTAATTAATTAATTAATTAATACTATTAATATATATATATATTCAGTGATTCTATATATATACAGTACATAGGTTGACATGTAGGCTGGTTCTCAGGGCAGCACGATACCTGGCATCCACAGAGTCTCGTCGAGACTCACGAGGAGCAGATTCTACACCATCTGGAGCTTGCACATTTGTGCCACCCCACCCAAAGCCAAGAAGATGATTGCTATCAGCATGATTACACCTTTATTAGATTAGCTGTGCATTGTTTACAGGCTTGTGGCTCTGCCCATGCCAGCCTTTGAATGAATATTTTCCTTTGAAAAACCAATGGGAGGGTGGGATGATCAACTCAACAGCTGCTGACAACATTTCCCTTATTGCTACATAAATGTGTTACTCTGGGAGAAAATCATAAGGAGAATTGTAGAAAAATGTTCTCCTTTTGATCTTCTGCAGTTTATTCTTCAGTGATGTCCTGTGTCTTAAGAAATTGTCTTTTATTAGGGTCAGACAAACCCCTAAAACAGGTTGTGGAAGCCATTTTAGCAATCCAAATCAATAAAATGGTATTGTGTCTAGTTACATGTATGAGGCCCAGTCAACAGAACATTGCTAATGTCATAATGACTCGTTTTCATTAATTGTCTTCATTATTCAAATCAGGTTTAACGTTGACAGTTGATCTGTTGTGGAGGTTTTGTGAAAACAGTTCTCCTAGATCAAATAGCCAAAAAGCTACACGCAAAGTAAAAAAAGACGTGTAGCCTCTTCCACTGAGCAAAAGTTAATATGTCAGAGATGAGGAGGTGACACATAAAAAAACAGTGTTGAATCAACCACACTAAATGGGTCTGGGTCTGTTTTTTTTAGTCACAGGTTTATATTGGGAGCCAGCCCAAATATATACAGAATACACTTTAACATGACAGCCAACACAGCCAACATGAAAGTAAAAGTAGGATTTTAATTTGTTTCATTCCAGTACTCTTGAAATTAGATGCCAAATTTAATATATATCTCATATATATATATATATATCTCAATATCTCATTCAAATGCAGTACTTATAAAATTAATTTCAAGGATCAAACATTCAAAAGTTTGTGATGTGGTTTAGCAGGCTATAACTTATATTCAAAAAGATAAAATATTCAAATTCTTCTGTAATGACTGCAGTATAATCAGTTTTAAAGCCACAGTGTAAATTGAGCCATTTTGCCACCGTTGCAGCTCATATTAGCACCACGCCAAGGAATGAAGACATGATCAGAGGAGAGAAATGCTCTGCCAACGTCTGTCTCCTCCATGCCAGTGCATGGGGAGAAGGGAAAGGTAGTGGGCAGAGCCAACTTTCCACTCCAGCTGGAGAGCTGGTGAGAGGCATTGTTTCTCTCATGTCCAACTGTCAGCCCTTGTAGTAGCTGATCTATAAGACGCTATTTCAAAATAGCATGGAGTCAGCTTGCCAGACACTTTAATGGCCTAAATGATGGATTCTTACAGGACCTTGCAAAATAGAACTTTCAAGACTTAGAAATGTTCAATATTTTTTCTGAGTATATTATCCGACCTGATTTTTCATCAGACTGAAGACTGTGAAATCTAACTAATGTAGTTGATAAACCACTCTGTGATTGTCATGCAAATGTAATTTTCAACTGAATTTATGTTTCTTACACTTTCACTTGTGTCTCAGGCCACTGATGTTGCTGAAATCCTTCCTTCTAAGCAGCATCCTCTACAGTGACTCCCTTCTTTGCCATTTAAAAGGAGTCCATCAGTATTCCAGTCAGATGGTCAAGTCACTACTTTACAGAGCTTCACTGTCCCTTTCCTTCTCAATGCTGTCTCTGACCACACATCCTTTCCCTTTGCTCTGGCCATCACCACCAAACTCTGCTTGGATTGAACAGACATCACATTTCATGAATTTAAACTGCTGCCCTCTGTTGGCCATGTCAGGGAGTTCACATATCAAGATCAAACCACTGAAATATTGTTGAGCATTGCACTCAGACTGGGAATCAGTGCAAGAATACATTCATCCATTAGTCAGTGTCAGTTCAAACATACTGTGCAGGAAAAAATGTAAGCGTCACATCTCAGTCTGTATTTAAAGGCAATATACTGACCTCAAATCATGTGTAAAGTACGGTTGACATTATGTGTTTTGCATCTCTCTCTTTTGTGTATTAGTACGTAGTCTAGAAATGCAATACCCACACTGATACAAATCTACTTTATATAAAAACCTACCTCATTATTTGTGTTTGCTCTCTTCAGGTCCAACTGGCTGAAGCCCTGCTGTGGCCGTCGAGTGGCCCTGTGGCAGGTCTGTCTGCTCAGTGCTGGTTTCAACTGTATCCTGGTGGCCTGTGTCATCCTGGTGGTGCTTTTCCTGTCTTTGGAGCTGCTCATAGACACCAAACTCCTACAATGTAAATAGTGTGCATGGCTACTTACTTGTTTATTTATCCTATATTTATTATTTCCTAACCTTTATTTTTATCAAGGGGAGGTTTGCTGAGCATGCATATTTTTCTCCAGCAATACACAGTGTGACGTTCGTAAAACACCTGGGATGCATCTGGTGCAACACACACTAGCAGCTCCACTGGAGCAGTGGGGAGTTAAATGCTGTAGTGTCCTTGAGCATCCACCCACCGCATCCTTACTAACTCCGGTGGTGCGGCTCCTGCACAGTGACCTACCTGCCGTCAGGGTCAAAATTAAGAGAATTTATTTTCAAAAATCTATCAAAATCAATTACCCGTATCATTTGATCAACATCAACATTTATACATTCTTAAACTGATAAAAACACAAGGTTTAGAGGTTATACCCTGTGGTGGTCAACATAATATCATAGTAAAATGGTTCTGAATTCTCAGCTGTGTTTCAGTTTTGTACATCCCCTTGTGCCAACCCTGGAAAGTAACTACATACATTAACTCAAGTAGTGTACTTAATTTCAGGTACTTGCACTTTACTTGAGTCTTTTCATTTAATGCTGCTTTCTACGTGCTACTTCACTATAGTTCAGAGGGAAATATTGTGTTTTGTATTCCACTGCATTTATTTTAGTATAAGTATAGTTACTGGTTACTTTTCTGATTATGATTTAACATTAAAAACTGTAAACTATAAATATGATAATCTTACCAAATACAACATATTGTTAAATATTAAACCTGTGATTTCTAACCTTTTTGGCTCATGACCTCTTACAAAAAATGTGGTCTATATGGTGCCCCTGGTCACATTTCAGTTGTTAGCAACTCCACCAAACAGATATTCCATCTCTAAACTTCTATGATGGTTTCAGTCAAATAGATGTAAAACTAACCAGTGTTTCACAAAAAAACAAAGATTAGTTAAAAGTCAGAAGAATTTAGTGCAAATGTTTGTGGCAATGTTTTTGTTTTTCTTCTGTTTTCCCTATTAATGATATAATTCCCCCTCAGATTTTTCTTGTTCTATCTTACCTCTTAATTTAGAACCATTGACTAAACTACCTAACCGTATCTAAAGTAGAGAGACTAGTTCCACCTCCACCAGCTACAACCATAAAATGGCACTTACACAGTCTTTTATTGTAATCAATATTCACGATCCAATTATGTCATAAACGATAGTATATCAGTCTGTCTGATCATACTATTTTGAATACACAGGTGTGTCAGTACTTTGAATTTTGTCCCTCATTCTTTTTCCCCACAGTATATAGGACAATTTACAAAGATTCATACTTATAAGTGTCGTAGAAATCATCATGTCTAAAGTCATGTGATATGTTTATGAAACAGTCATGTGTATGCATTTAGTGTTCACTCTTTCCATCACTACTGTGTGTGTATGTCTTGCCAGTCACAGAGGAGCTGGTGGTGCTGGATGGTAAATGGTTGTGATAGAGAGTGATGGAGAAAGGTGATAATGAACCAAGTCTCTTGTCAATGGCAGCAGGCACATATCCCCATCGATTACTGGCCAGCATCCAGCTCTGATGATACCTGAGTCTCACTGCGGGGACTGTAGGACTCCAGTCACTTCAGATCGGTTGTAATCTAGTGCTTTGTCTGCTGCCAGTTCTGCAAGACAAATAGGGGACTGGGCAATAAGGCGGAAGTGAGTGAAAGAGATAAGTGGTATAGGACATGGGTAGATTTTATTTTTTTTATTTTCCCTTTATTTTCCCTTTATTTAACCAGATAAGTCAGTTGAACCAATTATCATTTACCGTGACGACTGAGGCGGAGACAGGAGGCAAGTTGATGCAAACAGTTAAAACATACAAGTTGTTGCTGTGGATTAATGCATGGAAAAAAAACAAAAAAATGCTGATGGACAGAAGGAGAGGCAATATGAGTGAAAGTTCAAAATTAATTTAGGCAGGAAAGGAGAAAACAATTCTTTCTTTGTGCTTGACCTTCTTGAAATCAGAATATTAAGTATTATATTTGCACTGTATTGCACCAGCTACAATACAAAGAGGAATTTAGGCAATTATTATCATCATTATCTTTATTTCTTAACTTGTATTTATTTGCGAGCTCATATTCTTGTAATGCTCCTCTTGGTTAACATTTGTGCCATTTCTTCTCTCAACAGTTTCCAATGCTTTTCAATTTGCCAGCATTATCCACTGGATCAGCCTTATTATCCTGTCTCTCTTCTTTTCAGAGGTAAGACATTTTGTTGACCATCTTTATATACAGTAGTTCTCATTCTGTTATTTTCCTACCTCTCTTCTCTTGGTCTCTTGTTAAATTATCAGTGGAGTTTTCATAATTGAATTAAACCAAACTAAACTTTCTTTAATTGTAGATCATATCCTATCTACAGCAATGCAAACCTGATAGCCTACAGGCCTAAGGGAACTAGATGTACATGGCTGCCATCTAATTTCCCTCATTGTCTATTCAGGATTTAGCTTTAGCTTAAAAAATTCTACCTTGAGGCTGGAATCCCAGTAAAATATCTATCGTTTGAACCATAATTTTAATTAGTCTTAATAAAATTTTAGACATTGTTTGATAAAAAAATGTCTTATCGTCACTGTGGAATGGTGAAAAACAAAATGGAGAGGGGAGAATTTGGCCCACAGGCCTCCACTTCAGTGCAAACCAATTACCCTGACAGCCTCAGCCCCAATGCCCTAAACCAAACATTAATTACCAGTGAGCCAGCGGGAGCAATAATTAAAGCTGAGCTTAATGAGCAGTGGGGATGGGGTTACAGTGATACGATCCATCCAAACACCTCGCCCACTGACATCACAGAAGAACAGTCATCTGGGAACGGTGTTAGATGGATGTACCATATGACCAACCGGTCCCTCTGCACCAATCACAAAACAGGGTTCTAACATGTGGGTGGAGTCCCTGCACTACTCACTTGACACCAGCACTGTTGTCCGACATGCGCTCCAGATGATGGATTAGTGGGACCGCTCGTACATGACACCCCATGCTAATTGCAGCGTAAATCAATGGCCCTCAACAAAGGGTCCCACACAACCAACAGCATATACAGAACATGATGCAAAATTTGATAGGTGATCAGATTACAAGTGTTGTGTTGTCCTTCAGTAGGTCAAAGACCAGGAACGAGATTTGCCACAGATGTAGTCTTATCAAATGGTTAGTTATAAATGCTCATAAAATGGTTTGCTGTCTTCTTTGTGATTTTTCTGTGATGTGTCAAAGGCAAATCAGTGTGTGTGCATGTATTTACACCAATCAAATACAAATATTCTTTTTATTTGGGGCTATTTTAAGGGGCCTGGCTGTATATATTTTAACATAGTTGTTATTCTATCTGAAAAAAATAAGGTATTTGAGGAAGAAAACAGTACCACACAGGCCTCTTCTCAGTTTTTTAGTCTATGTTCACACATCTTGACAAAGGTTGTTGGATGTGATGACAACTCAAAAGACTAATAATATCACAAGAGTTTTTTTTATATGTATCAGCATACTCCCTCACCTATCTATTTTAATGCCTTCATTCATCTCTCTCTGTCTGTCTCAGACAGTCTTCAGAATCGTAGTGCTTGGGATCTGGGACTACATAGAGAACAAAGTTGAGGTTAGTGTTTCATGTTTATTGGCAGATCTTGATGACCAGTTTTCAGTGTTTGTCAGTGTCAGATATTATTTTCAATCTGGCAACCTGTTTCAATATTATTTATCTATTTTCTTGTTTTCCCCAGAGTTTACATTGAATTGTTGTAGAAAAGGTTCAACATTTTGGAAAATAAACTCTGCTTTCTTGCTGAGAGTTAGATAAGAAGATTGAGGCCACACAATATGAAGCTACAGGTAACAAAATCCATGCAACAGTAGCTTAATATTTACCACGGACATTTGAGTGGTATCAGTCTTCCTATCTAACTTTCTGCAGTTTCTGAGTAAAAAGGACATTTCCCACTATTCCTTTAAAGTAACCTACTGTGCATGCGTGAATAAACTTAAGCCTAGCCTACGAGTTCAGGGCTGGGGTTATGCAGGGGTTTTCTGGCAGGGGCCAATGGTACAACAACATTTGCACATATTTGAATTTTGTATGTGTATGACATCCTCAGGTGTTTGATGGTGCTGTCATCGTGCTGTCCCTGGCCCCCATGGTGGCCTCCACGGTGGCCAACGGGCCCAGCAGCCCCTGGGATGCCATCAGCCTCATCATCACTCTACGCATCTGGAGGGTCAAGAGGATCATTGATGGTGAGGCAGGCAAAAACCTTGTGTCCAAAGTTGTCCTGTATATGAGACCTATTAATTTTGTGGAGTGACTCAAGGAAATACCCAATCTTTCTTAACTCAAAAGGACTACACAGATGCATAACAATCAGCTTGCCTTGAAAGAGCTAAATGACCCTATTCTCTCCATGATTATACAAATTATTTACTATTCAGAGCAATAGCTATTGATCATCCCTCATGCTAAATTGCTGCCACTCTGCTACTCTAACTTGTATTGATTCTAAGGGCCTGGTTAAGTAGATTCAGAGAGGCCATAATGAATATAGTGGTTGTTCTCCCCTATGCTAATGATGGCTGGTTCGATATCTGTTCAGAGGTCACCCTCACCATGAGCCTCTGACTGCATATAGGATCAGCTGCACTGAGACAGTGGATGAGTAAAGGGCTGTTTTACTTTATATTTCATTTCTAATATTTTATTTTAGGAAATATATATTTACTTTCCGTGGTTAGATGAGACTAGAGCCAGCAGGTGGTTAGAAGTTATATCTTGTATAAGCACACAAAAAAAGAAGTATAAAAAAAGAGGCTTTGTGCTAAGCTAACTGTCTGCTGGCTGAAGCTTTATGTGTTGTGTAAATATATATAAAGCTTTTGCAATATTCTCTTTGAAACTATTCCTTTAAATCTGTTATCTACCAATCATTTTCACCTCTTCATTATCAATGAGGCAGGCCTGGCGCCATGAGGAGTCCAGTCACCTCAGTTGTATTTTTTTTTTAGATTTTCTAATTCCCCCTTTGTAGCAATCTACAGACAGAAGGGAATGAAGGTACAGTCAGCTGTTGGGTGCTTTCCCCTCCTGATTTTGACAGTTGTTCATGAATTAAAAAAAATATTTAGCATTCTGCCAGTGTTACATTCCAATGTGAGTGCTCTGATTAATGTATTCTTTCATTCAAAACAATAGCATTGTGTTGTTATTTAGCCTGAAACTACTGCATTAATTAAAAACATTTTATTTTATGAAAGCCTCACAATTTTTAACACCCTCCCCAGTCACAGTCATTCCGGTGCCTGGCCTGCAATGAGGAATACACACAAACAGATGGTTATTATATAATTTTATTGGAAACGTTCAGTCTTTCTTTTTTGTTTATGTTTTTGTTCATACAGGAAGGTCCTACATAGAAATGTCTGTCTGGCTGATGGTGTTCCCAACTCATACATACATGAGTACATTGTTTTAATAGATTAAATATATTGAGCTAAAAGGGACACATCATAATGACATAATAAATAATTTCAAGAATCAATGCAATAAAGCATTCAACCTCATTGATTTACTCTGGTGAAAGGCATTCAGCAGGAGCACGTTTCCTTCTTCTTAATATGCAGCTGCAGTGTTGGTTTCCAGGGAATGAACTCGAGATTTTCCTGCCGCACACCTCGACCTGTTCGCTTTGATATTTGTGAGTGATTGAGTTTCCTCACAAAGCAGGCAGCAACACACCTCAGAGGGAAAAAATCACACTCAAACCAATAAATGTACAGCTGAGGGACCGGCTTAGTTATCGTAGGAGAAGGATTGAGTCTCTCGCTTTTCAAGAATTATCTTGACGTATAATAGTGGCAACATTTGTGTCAGTCCGATGGGAGTGGAAATACAGAGGAGTGAACTGCAGTAGAATTTGTAAGGACTAGAAAGACAAAGTAAAATGTATTAGCAGAGTGATATGATGTAAAATAACCACATGTAAACATGTATAAAATAGGTGTTCCAGAAGAAACAGATATCCTGAAATGCTGAATTTCTTCCATTCCAGCTTCTGCATTGCTATAATGATGGCAGGGCTTTAAACAGAGCCATTTAACCAAAGTCAGTATAACTGCAATAACAGTAAATGGTGAATGAATAAATGATAATGAGAAAGGTTTCCGAGGCAAACTCATAGACAGAATAACTGTTCCATGCAAAGTCCTACATCAGTTTAAAATGCAGGGAGACAGGGTTTTGTGGGTTGGTGTAAGTGGAACAGGTTTTTTTGAGCAGTGAAACACTTGACTTGAGGTGAGAGGAGAGAGTGGAGCAGAGCCTTCTGTTGGCCTCTGTGAAGTTGTGGGATCAGCCGTGGTGTGAATTACACTGTTATGCATGTGCTGCCAGCAGCTGTCAGTAATGACACACACACACACATAGTATAATCATGCAATCGACACTGCGCGCCTGCAAACACATACTGACACAGATACAATATGCAGGAGCATAAAAGTATCATTAATGCACACTGTGTGGCCAAATAATGAACCTGTGATTGATCTTTTTGTTCCCGTTTGAATTCTGACTGAACTGACCCCTTCTGAGTCCCCACTTTTGCAAATGTGTGTGTGTGCTCCAACATGACTATAAATAGATACAAGGAGCATGTGGCGATGGCTGTGTGCTCTGCTCTGCCCCCCTCAGTACCAGAAAAGCTTTTCATTTTTCTCTCAATGTTTTGACAAAGTCGGCATTTGAGTCTCCTAATAGTTCGAACTACAATCACAACAGAAATATAGTAATAGGACAAGTATGATGACTGATAAAATTTCACCTCTTTATGTTGTCCATAGCAACATTCCCCATCAGGATACAGAGTATGTGTGATATCATGTGGCTGACTTACAAATGTGATCACAGAGAGGTGTGAGGGACTGACTGTCTGCCACCTGTGATGACAACAGGTATCCAAATTTACTCTCACTATCCTTTTTTTAGGTACATAATCCCACCCGGCTCCAGAAAGTGTTTCATGTATAAATAAAATGTGCAGTCAGATTGTAAGAGGTGGAGTTACTGATTGATCAAGACGTGATAAAAACACAACCAATCAGCTGCGGCTTGATTGGTGAGCGATGATGAGAGATAATTCAGGGCTGACCAAAGTGTGCTGGCAGCACAAAGAAGAAGGTCATGTGAGACACACCACTCGTACATTCACTAAAGAGCGAAGACACATCCGGCAACAAGAGGGTGAAGCTCAGATGACCGAGTGCCCACCAAGAGTATACAACTAGAAAGATTTTCATATTGCTACACAAAGTAGTGTTTGAATGCATTACTGTCTCAAAATGTAATTATCAGTCTCACTGGACATTAGGCTGTATCTATGTCACATACATTCAAATATTGTTGTGTACTGCTCCAAAATATGACATTGTTACTTTGTTTTAAATGAGCTGTCAGCTCAGAAAAGGCTTCTGGTCAATGAAAGTTAAATAAAAAATTGGGAGAAACTGCAAATGAGCTGCAGATTAGACACATACAACAGTTCCTAAAAGTAACAGTAACAAAAGAAACTTTTAATGTTGGCTTATTGTATTACAGATTGTTCACCTGTTTTCCTGTTTAAATAAAATCAAACCATAAATACAGATACATTTTTAAAATGTGTTTTTAAAACTCAAACATTGAGCCTCGTCCATGTTTTACTCCAATGACACCACCATTGTTATATCATCGAAAGACCATTCCAGGACAGTGACTTTAGTTTATCCAGATGTCAACCCAGTAGATGAAGTAGAATGGGATGTTCACAGTATTAATCTGGGCTGAAAATATATTAAAACTTTCTGACGCCTTCAAGTCAGTTGAAACTAGATCCCTGTGGAACATTTTCAGCACCTAACTACATTCATTCAGTACAGGTTTAGGGTTACTAGTAACCAGTAATTAATGAGGTTTGCATAAGTGAAGACAGACACATGTGGGACAAACGACAAATGGCCCAGCAACACTGACCTTTGACCTTGAACTGCTCTATGATTTTCGTAACCAGCTGTCTTATCTAAGGAACTTTTCTCGCTTAATAAGTCCTCCTAATGTACCTGGCAATCCTTTTCAGATCATTAAATTATGTAGTTTGGTAATCTAAACAATTCTTATTGTCTTTGTTATAAAACTCTGTCTCTCTGTCCTTTCTCTTCCACATTAGCTTATGTGCTACAAGTCAAAGTTGAGATGGAACTGGAGATCCAGCAGTGTGAGAAGACCAAGGCTGTGAGAGAGGAGCAGCTTGAGCGTCTCACTCAGATCTGCCAGGAACAGGCTGTGAGTACCAAAACACCTTAGATTTAACCTTACTGCCAGGCTGCATTTCCTCATACATGTCCACAAAAACTGTTTATGAAAGAGTAGAAAATGAAGCACATCCACTGAAAGCTGAGGATATATTATCACGAGAGCAGTATATGAGCCCTCATGCACAGCACAACAAACAGCATCAGTACTGTATCACGGTCGACACTACTTCAAAACATTTACAGCCACGTTTTAACCCAGGAAAAGGGTGTATCATACTCAAAAGACAGAAAGTGAGTAGAATATAAGTTTAAAGTCAGCTTGGACATGATCACACGTAATTGTAGGATTATATTGTACTGGATGTCAATAAAAAAGTTTAGTTTTTTACTCACTACTTTATATTATGGTCATATAACAATCCAGTTTTTGAATAAAAATAGCCTGTAGATTTGTCATGGTAAATGATTTACTATACTACTGGTATGATTAGGGCCACACAAGCATGGAACTGTCAGTTCATTTGCCACCAGAGGAGGGCAGCAGTACCTTACAAAAAGCTCCAGTTTTTCCACACATTTCCTCAAGATTCTGCCAAGCACAGGCACACACACTGATGATCTCATATTGAAAATGCAGACTACAATAAATAATGATAAAGACTTAACCCTCAATTAACTAAGTTCGGATCTGACACTGGACATTTATAATAAATAAATTATCAGAAGGAAAAGATCAGATCCTTCTAAAAATTTTCATTAATCAAATTGCTCTTCATAACTGAAGGCACTAGTATTCCTTCACATATATACATTCATATATGACCTCAGTCAAAATGTATTTGATTGAAGGTATATTAAAAATACAGTTGGAACAAGAGTCATACATACTCCCTGCATGCATATTTAGTAAAAGTGGTTGCTACAATATTTTGTTGTTTTTTTTCTCCTTCCTTTCACAAAATATATTGCTGCAATGGTTTCTTGTCAATGGACAAGATCCTCAAGGCCAAAACCTTGATGTATCACAGCTGTACATCACACGTGAAGTGTACAGTTTTACAGAGTATCCAACACATAATTAGGTAATGCAAACAGTAACACTAATTGTTCTTGATGTTTTTCAGTATGATCTGTGTGGTCTGGAGAAAATCTCAACATCGTTTCCAATCAGAACGGTTTTTAACTATTTTTATGGGCTTTGTTTGTCTGTCCTACCTTGTTCTCTTTTCCTCCCTTTACCGTTCTGTTTCCCTCTCCTCTTGCTCTTCTCTGTTCCTGCTTTCCTCATCCTTTTTTCCTGTTCCCTTTGCTCATCCTTTTTAAATTAATTCCATTTTTACTTTCCTTCTTCCAACCTGCTTCCACTTTTCTCTCTTTTTTTATGCATACACACCGATCACCTCCAGTTTGAGATCCGGCAGCTGAGAGCCCATCTGGCCCAGCAGGACCTGGACCTTGCTGCAGAACGTGAAGCAGCCATGCAGATCCACCACGTATGGGGCAAACAGGGCAGGAGTTTTCAGGTTGTAGAAGGCTTGACTCCTGGGGAGTCTGATGATGAGGGTGGCCAGAGAAACCCCAGGGAGCCTCACGCCACTGCAGGTACAGTATAGTTTGGATTTTAGTGACTGGGTCACAACCTACTGAAACTGTCCTGGTGAAACCGCTGTTATCATGAGTTGGTTGTTGGAGAAGTTCATCATGTCTTTTGAGTTAAGAGACACCTAATTAGTAAATTGTATAATACTATACAGTTGAACTAAGAAAATAAGAAAGAAAACTATCATTTTTAATCTATGATCCTTCTGATACAAATTTTGACTGCAAAATGACCTGTGGTGAGATTAATGCAGTAGGTCATAATACATAGTGAAACACTATTTCACAAACTTGAGAAAATTGAGGCATCTAAGACAAAAATCCTGTAATATGTATCATTAAAAATATAGCATATTTGAATACACACAATGCCAGGTGCAGTGCTTGCTTGAGAAAGCAGCATGACAAACGAGGAGAGAGGTGTAGCATAAAGTATGTACATAATTATGTGGAACAAAAAGTCTCTAACAGTGTAACATTGGGTGAACTGGGTGCCCGAGCAGTGTACAGTTAATCTGGAGCAGTAGCCCTGGAGCATCTTCGGGGCCAGCCTCTTAGCTCCTCCACACTGGCACACAACACCCATCTGACCGCAGGCTCTCTGGGATCAATATGAGGGCAAAAAAGCTTTTAGGATCTGGTGAATCCTGCAGAAAACAAGCATGTTCTCTGACACTACGTCAGTTTGCATGGGCTTCTGTCATGCCCCGGCTATCTCTCTTACCACCCCCCTCATGGCGAGACTAGCATAGCCAGCCCAGACCACTTGGGCTATTTCAGGTACAGAGTGCTCTGTGCATTGGGCCTTGTTAGGAGAGAGTGGGCTCCTGTCAACATCTGTTCCCCTTCACCTGCAAACCACAATAGGGCACCAGGAGGCTCCATGGTGGCCACAATATTACCCCAAGGGCATAGTGGGAAATCTGGCTCTCAGAAACAAGTGGGGCTTTTTACAGAAACATGGTCACTGGGATGCACACTCAGGCCACAGGGCTCAAGTCAAGTTTATTTGTATTGCTAAATATTGCAGTCTTTACAGTCTCAATGGGCGTCGCACACTCACCTGCAGAGTGAGTTCAAACTATCAAGAACTCTTGGCCTTTATAAGAAAGATTGACCCAGGAGATTGAAGGTTTTTCCACCTTAAAGTGCCAAACCATGTAGAATTTAAGAACAACCAGGGACAATCAGCATTAATCAATGAGCCAGTGGAGTTTCCTCTCAGATGCTGAGGTAGGTAGTGGCAGAGCACACAGTAATCCAACAGTATTGTAACAATAGAATGGAAGTGTTGCAACAAAGAAAGATGTTATGTTGGGAGGAACATTTCAAATTGCCTTACTGTTTCTATCAAATTGTCTGAACAAAGGCCTTGCCACATGTTCTAACACAATTCATCTTAAGAGGGACATAAAAGTCTATACCCAGTTTGATACCAATCCATCTAATAGTGTAGAGACATTTCACTCAACCAAATGGTGCTATGCTGGTGGTCATAGAGGAAAATTTAGGGGATCTCCAAACGCAGCAGGCTTCATCCTCTGGGTAATATTCATTTTTGTACAAGATTTTGTGCAAATCCATTATCTTGAGATATTTCAGTCTGGAACAAAGTGGTGGGCAGACCTTCCGGCAGATAGATGGACTTCCCCAGAGCAACTGCTAACATGGTTAAAAAGCTTATGTGGTACATATATAAATCTCCCAAGTTGCAAAACAACTGTGTTCTTAGATCAAAGTCTGTTTATTTTTTATCTGTTTGCCTGTTCATTTAGTTTATCTGTGGTAGCATTAGCTGCAGTGGTAGCTAATCTTCCTACTCTCATACTACTTCACTTGTGGTGTAGAACTGATACTTCACCCATCAAAATTATAGTTTAGATTTAACTAAAAGGACCCCAGCATGTCACCTCTTTTTCCAAAGACAGATGACAGCCTGGTAACTTGACTGTCACAGACAGAAGAGCAGAGCCTTTTATGTATGCTGGACAGCCCATTCTTTTTTCTTAAGACTCATGTGTTATTAATTGTGGAGTGATTGTCTCAGTCTTGTTTTAGTGAGTGCAATGCTTCCTCTCCAGGGGTGGCTCAGGGATTAATATTTTAGACTGAAAAATAAATGAAATTACCCATCAGAGTCTGCAGCATGTCCCGGGGGACAGGGGCTAGCACTCAGGGTACTCTGGGTTCGCACTCAGCCAGTGGACAGTGAGCTCAAGACCAATCAAGCGAACAGAAGAGCATAGCATATCACGGCCATTCACCACGCACACTGAGGCCTGCTAGACTGGAGAGATCTGTGCCTGAACAAAGAGATCTCTCTCTCTCTCTCTCTCTCTCTCTCTCTCTCTCGCTACAATTTACCCCCATTTCTATCATCCCTGAAACCAACCCCACCCTGTCCCAGTTTATTTTTGGTGCACTAGGGTGCAGCTAATGCACAATGTAGCAGTGTGTGATCCTGACCACTTGCCAATAAAGCACCTGTGGCCTGGGGCAGAAGTCATCTCTGTCAATATTATGTTGTAAACATAAGAGATATTTTCCATTTGGACCAGTTTGCAATGTTCACACTGAAATGGACCAAAGTACGTACAGACAAAAAGGTGTGAAATCCAATTACAGTCATACAGCCATACAGAGTCTTAGTAGTATGAGTCTGCCCCACTATATTAAACCATAATTTGACAGGCCACTTCCTGCTATTTACAATTTATGGTTCTGTATTCAGACTATAATATACTATATGTATAATAATATATATATACGTCCAAAAAGTATTTGATGCATTTTTTGGTTGTATTCATGTATAATCCCAAAGTCCAACAATCAGAGAGTGCAATCAAAACTGTGTTCATAATGTAGTAATCGTAATAAGAGTGAAATCATGCATGTTTGGCATATTATGGATATTTATATTTGTACCTTTATACACTATAATCGTAATCATAATCACTGACAAGAGCAAGCACAACACAACAACACATGACTTTTATTGTATGGTTGAGTGGTAGTGAAAAAGACAGGAAGGAATCAGAGCTGAATGTATGGAGGTATTGTAGGAGGGATCAGGGTTTTTTTTCCTAGGAGTTAATATTTTCTGTAAAGATGCAGCAAAGTTCAACAAATTTGAATAAATCTGTTATCAGGTTGATTTGTACAGTGATTTCTACACAAATTGAGTAGTTGTTAGCAGTCAGATTGTGGACAAATACAAAAGAAACTAAGTGGTTAAAGTAATATAATCTCATACAAGCTTTTTATGGTGGTATGATTTTGACTGGAAAGAATTCTAAGGTTTATTAAAGCCACTGTAAACCCAAAATCAACAATAGCTTTCTAACTATATTTATATAGGGTCTTATGTATAGTGAGTATGTAAAAGAGAGGATATAAAAAGTAAGAAATTAGTTTCAATCTAAATTCGAAATATTGACGTTTTAATTTTTTGTAAACTTTCCTGATATTGGCATTGGGTGTGGTTGTGCTTATAAATATTCAAATAGCCTCTCTGAACTGAGACTCACGTTAGCTTAATTGCCTTGTTGACTAATTGTAAAACACACTTCTTCAAACCTAAATAATAATAAAAAAAAAACCTCACCAAAGCAGTCTTGGTTTGTCATTTCACTGTTTCAGCAATCGGCAACTCTTGCATGGTCAAAATAAATCCTTCTTTCACTGAGTCCGATGTAAAAATATTCTAACTCTTTAGCTGTTTTCCTGCTGCCTCCCTCTGCCTGCTGGCGTCTTGGTGCTACTGGGTTTAGCTCGCTGAACAGTTGCTGAAATAATATTTTTTATTTATTTATTTTTTAACTCAGATCCAGTTGTACATGATGACATGAACAACTACATCAGCCAATACTACAGTGAAGCAAGCAGTGGTAAGTGACTATGGAGACTGACTTATTATACATCACTATGTACATGTAAATCAAATTAAGTCAAGCAGCTACTCAAAAGTCTTTTTGAGTGATTATAAGGCTGCTGATTCATAGGTCATAGGAAAAAACTTTTGGTCATAGACTTGGCTGCATATAAAATATTTGATGAGTCAGTTTTTGGTTTTATGTTGGACCAGCCTTACACAGAATCTGAGGAGAGCTGGAAAACTGTATATTTATATGTAAACTCAAACCTTATGGAAGGATTTAGTGGAATATAGCAGTGTAGTTGCAGATCGCAACCCCCTCGCTTCACCCCCCCTTCCAAGTGCAAAGGAGAAA